CAGTTCGATCATGGATTACAAAAAATTCAATCATGGATTACAAAAAACTCTATCATGGGTTAACAAAAAAAGTAAAAAACAAAAAATTCAATCATGGATTAACAAAAAAAAAACAAACATTTCGATCATGGATTACAAAAAAAAACAAACATTTCGATCATGTATTACAAAACATTCGATCATGGATTACAAAAAATTCTATCATAGGGTTACAAAAAAAAAAAAACAAAAAAATCGATCGTGGACTACAAGAAAAGAAAACAAACATTTCGATCATGGATTACAAAAAATTCTATTATGGGTTACAAAAACCAAAAAATCAGATCATAGATTACAAAAAACAAAAACAATTCGATCATGGATTACAAACAAATCGATCAAGTATTACAAAAAAATCTATCATGGATTACAAAAAATAAAAAATAAAAATAAAAAAAATAAAAAAAAATAAAAATAAAAAAATCCGTACGGACTCGCCGATTCCGTACAGTGAATCGGCGATTCACTGTACAGAATCGTCCGGTTCTCTCTAGAACCGGACAATTTCCGATTTTTGAGGCGATCCGGTCCCTTTTTCACGATTTTCGAGTCGAACCCGGGCGAGTCCGGTTCGACTCGGCGTTTTTTAAAACGCTGCTTTAAACTATACACCTCGATGTTGAGATGATCAATAGGAAAAATTTTCAACATCGAAATACCCTTTTCATCTGATTTTTGAGGTATACCTCACTTCCATGGTAGAAGGTTGCAACCTTACCTAAAAAATTTCTTTGGAGGATATTTTTACATAAAACATGTAAACCTTATTCTATTAAATCAAGGTGCACCTCAAAAATCTTCTCCAGATAAATGTCAAGATTGGAAGACTCTCAAATTGATCAACTCAACCTCGAATGCATATGAACAAATAGGAAAAAATTTCGAGTCATAAAAATAATACATCTTATAGCAAGTTATATAGATTATTTATTTTCAACATTTTCAAGTGTATATAGATTTACCCAACAATATCTTCTTTTTTTTGACACCATAACTGCATCTTTTGCAAAATTTTGTATGCAACTTCCTCTTAGTATAAGAATGGTGCCTTGTACAAACTTCATCCTCATCAAAACGCTTAATTTTATCAATCGTCTAATTACCCTTTTCAACTATTTAGATGAATATTGAATGCAATTTTTTGAAATGAGAAAATTATGTGTATATCCCTTATTTTTTCGTTATTAAAAGGATCCCTACCAAACTTAAAAAAATTTATGTTCGTGCCCAACAATTTTGTTTTTTATTTTCAAAACTACTCATATTTCAAGCCTTCGAAGTTCAAAAATTTCAAGGCATACCCAAAAGAAAATCCATAAATATTTCGGGTCTCTCCAAACACAATAAAAATATAACATAATTTTTTATTAAAAAATGGAATTTTTGAATTAAGGCATACCTCTAAAATCTTTTGGAAAAAGTTAATTTGATGTTAAAAAACAAAATCTAATTGATCATCTCGATGTATAGATATAGAAAAAAAAAAAGATTTCAACTTCTAAAAGTAGTAAATCTTGCAACACATTACCTTGACTGTCCATGTTCAAGATTTTTATGTGTTATGACTTATGAGATCTACTTGATTGAACTATTTTTGAAGTTTAAATTTTTATAATTAGAAATAACAATAGATGGAAAAAGTTTATATGAAGGTGAGGCCCTAAACAATCAAATTAAGGCGCATCTCAAAAATTCATTAGAAAAGGTTGTTTCGACGATGAAAAACCTTCAATTCGATCATCTAGACCTCAAGATGTATGGACGTGAAAAAAAATAGATTTCAAGTCTTGAAAAAAATACATTTTGTTATGTATTATCTAGAACATCAATTTGCAAGTGTTCATAAATTTGCTCGATATACACTATTTTTTAACTTTAAATTTTATAATTAGAGAAAAAAACAAAATTTCATACCATCATAAATATTTATGATATTGATTGTAGTTTAGGGTATATCTCGTGAGAAAATTTGATGGCACATCTTTATTCGATGGAAAAAGTTCATATAAAGTTGACACCTTAAAATGTAGAGTTAAGGCACACCCTTAGAATCCACGTGGCAAAATCATTTTGATGTTGGAAAAACATCTAATTGATCATCTAGAGATTGAGATATATAAATATAGAGAAGAAAAGAGATTTCAAGTCCTACAAATAATACATCTTACAACATATTAGGAAGACCTTCTATTTTAAAAATTTTTATGTGTTCATATATTTAAACTGCTTTTAAAATTTAAAATTTTACAATTACAAATAAAAATAGATTCTTACATCTAAAATTTTTTTCTGATATAAAAGTTACTATGTCATGACGGACTTTGGAAGTGCAGCTTAATATAGCCACTCCAATATTTGAGACCACACCCATATTAGTGCAAATAACTATTTGGTAACAAAAGGAAAAAATAAAAAAGTGCAAATCAAATTCCTCAAAGTTAAAGATGTGCTGAAAAGGTTGTCAGGTCAACCCCAACGCTCTCTCTCGCATCTCCTTCATCGTTTCCCTCTTCTTCCTCTTTCACCATGGCCGCCTCTCCCTCCCAAAACGACCAGCTGTTGCAGATTTATCCTACTTCCTCTACTTGTGTTTCCCCTTTTTGGAGAGGTTCTTCTTCTTCCCCTTTTGCTTTTTCTCTTCACAAATTCTTGGTTTCTTAAACTTGGTAATCTTCTATGAGACTCTTTATGGGTTTTATGAGTTCCTTTATGGGTTTTATGAGTCCTTTGTTTTTGAGCTTGTTTGTAAAGCTTGAACTTGTTATATCAGAGTGTTCATCTTTTTTTTTTTTTCATTTGCAGAGAAATATGAAAATAATGCTAGAAAGTACTGGGATGTATTCTATAAGCGCCATGAAAACAAGGTAAATTGCGGTGTTTATGATTGTTTCCATATACCCAGTTTCATTATTTCACTCTTGTTTTTTGAAACTGCAGTTCTTCAAAGATCGGCACTATTTGGACAGGGAATGGGGCCTTTATTTTACTGTGAGTAGTTTAGGTACTTGTGATTGCTGATTTTCTCTTTCTTCTCTCTCTCTATGATTGTTTCTCAGAGTACTTGCAAACTATCACACTGTTTGGGGTTTTATGAGTTAGAGTCTCTCTCTCACCTCTGAACTCTTTGGAAACTATTCCTATTAAAAATTGTTTCTTATTTCAGTCTCCCCAAGACAATGATGAAAGCAAGTTGGATACAGGGAGAAATTCTGATAAGAGAAAGGTTGTTTTAGAGGTAGTGTTATTTGACATCGAATCTGGTTTTCTTGTAATTGTGTTCTGCCTTGAGCTATCTTGCTGAGCATTGCATTCATTTACGATAAAAAATGAGTCATCAAAGTTAAACTTGATTGTTAATTGTTTTTTTTTTTTTCTCTTTCAAATATTTTTACTTTTTACATGAAGTTTGGAATTAGGAAGTCATGGGTTGGATTCAATGATTGCATCTATTGTATTTGACTCATACTTAGCAAGTCTTCAATTAAAACATGATTTTTTTCAAAGAATCTTAGATTTTTTGAAATCCATTAAGAACCGAGTTTTTCAAAACATCTTTAAAAAGTTCACGTTCTTTTATGGAACCGATATAAATGGGTATCTTATTTCAAAAAAACTTCTTCAAAAAAGGTTCTTCCCTATTATTTTCTTGAAATTTTCATTCTATATGTTGATTTGATATCTTTGAGTTTTTTGGCACACAACACATAAAAAGTGGGATTAATTTAAGAATCTTGAAAAAAACATTCCATCAAACATTTTCACCAACATATTCCCTTAAAAATTGTATTTCAAAAGAAAAGAAACACTAGCAATGTACTCCATGGAAAAAAGTATTCTCCCAAAACAACCATATATCTCAAAATAATCGATGGAGTTTGAGGAAGAGTAACTGAATGAAAAATATTTTTTTTCCGCAAACCAAGAGCATCATTACAAATTGCAAGGGAGAGATTCAGTCACGACTTAAATTTAGGCAGTTGAGAATTTGGGGTAATGTTTGAATGACGTGGTTTGTGTACACATTGGTCATTACAAGTAAGCACTTTGTAGCTCTGTCTATATCAGTGTTCGCAAAACTCGCCGATCTAATCGCTAACCGCCCGGTTAGATCGAAACCGGCCAATGGTTTTTGGCGGTTTTGGTGATCAACCGATTTCTTAAAGTTTAAATAGAATACTACACATTTATATCAAATATTTTAGAATGGCGTATTGGTTAGTGCTGGTGACTATACTTTATACGAACCGAGGTTTGAATCCTGCCATTAGCGGTTTTCTTTTTAAACATTGGTGTGGTTCATTTTAACAATTCTAAGAATTCATTACATTGGTAAGAAGTTTAAAAAATTTACTTGCCCACAATTCTAAGAATTCATTACATTGGTAAGAAGTTCAAAAAATTTACTTGCTCACATGAATCGAACTTAAAAGTTATTGTAAAGAAATAATTTGTTATTAAACCCACTAACCAATGCACCATATACTATTTAGTTGCCTATTAGATCTATAAACCAATATGTCATTTACTACGTATTTACAAAAAGAATGGTCTATATTGTATATAACTTAATTTTTTTTCATTTTCTTTTAAAAAAAGAGTTGGTCAAGTTGATTTTTTAACACTGTTTTAATAATTTTTACATTATGAGAAAGATTAAAAAAATTTGTGGTCATTGATACTCACTTTTATATTTTCCCATCGTTTTCAAAAGTTTTTAAAAATACCCCTAGGCAGAAATCTATTTGTTAAAATCCATTTTTTTTCAATAATTTTCAACTTCATTTGAGTGTGTTTTGTTTTAATCACATTCTTTATATGCTTTTCGTATTTTAGTAGATTTTTTTTGTATCTTTTTTAATTTTTTTCAACACTTTTTTGATCGTTGGGGGCTTGCTCGTTTGAGCGGTTGAATTGGCCGGTTTATAGGTTAGACCGGTTAAATTGCTTCCGGGCCCCTGTCTGGTTAACCGTTCCGGTTCGATTTTGCGAACACTAGTCTATACATATGTTTGATTAATTTTATAGTTTTTAAATTTCTTGTGATTCCATTGTGTGCAAAACTACAATTTGAATGAACTATTGTTTTTTTGTTTTATTTAACCCCAATCCTATGGGGGTCTTTTGTTTTTGCTAACAGTAATGCTGTACCTTAGGTCACAATTCACGTTATTTGTTAATGTAATTGTGGCGTTTATTATCGTTGTTGTTGTTTCATTCATCATATGCTCCCAATAAAATTATCAACATTTTGTGTTGTGACAGTAGAGGAAGCATTATAGTTGTATGTGATTGAAATTTTGATGAAAATTTCTTAGGCATTGCCGAAAATGATGCAAGGTAAGGATATAAAATCATTTTTGTATAAATAGTAAGGGCATGAAATTATTGTGCAATGACTTTAACGTATCCTCACAATAATTGCAAATCATAATTTTATCTTATGTCATCTTTACATACGGATTTTTTCAATAAGTTTTTTTAGTTAAATTCGAAATATTCACGATTCTTTAACTTAACTAATATTTGGCAACCCATATTTTGGCCCCAATTTTTGCCTTTGACTTATCGGAACAAAATCGATATATGACCGATATTTTGGTTTGCCGATATATACTATGATTTCACTTGCTTTCTATGATTTCACTTGCTTTTCATATTGTGCCAAGACCACTTTACTCACAAATGTTCACTAATCATATTGAAATTTTTTGCATATTCAGTAACATATGGTTTTGACTATTGCGGAGTTTGATTGTGAACAAATTCCCACAACTTCACAAGATTACATGATTTTGATAACTAATAGGTTGGTTGTGGAGCTGGAAATACTGTGTTTCCTGTGATTGCGACCTTTCCCAATGTTTTTGTTCATGCATGCGATTTTTCACAACGTGCAATTGGCTTGGTCAAGGTATGCAATCTTTACTTGTTACTCTAGTCACTATTGTGGATATGTGTGTATTTATTGACATAGCATGCTTGCAAATTATGCCTGCAGACTTTCAGACTCATCAAGTATTTTTAGTCTATGTGTTGGTTGCTTTTTATATGATCTTTAACAACTAGCTGCTTCTCTCTTTTTATGGGAATAGAGGTTTATGCCTATTCCGATGCTCTTGTAGTCTATGTGTTGCTTGCTTTTCATATGATCTTTAACATCTCTTTTTACAGGAATAGAGGTTAATGCCAATTCCCATGCTCAAGAAACACTATATGATGTCTTGCATATGTTATTACTAATTTTATTTTATTTTATCTTATTAGAGCATCCATTGATATAGTATATTCTTTTTACGTAACTTTGTCAGTTAATCCTCCGTGTTGCAAGATTGCCTCCAAGCAAAGTACAATAGCGTGATGTAGATCTCCGATTGACAATAAAACCAGCCCAATCTGCATTTGTATAAGTCTTAACTTTCAAGTGCCTATGATTAGCGAACAACAATCCTCGACCTGATGATGATTTTGGATATCTAAGAACTATGTCGAGAGTTTCAAGATGATAGTTTGTGAAACATGAATGAACTGACTTATCGCACTCATAGCATATGCAATTTTTGGACATGAGTCAGAAATATATCAATCTACCCGCTAATCTTTGAAACATAACCTCATCTTTGAGAGCTTCACCTTTTGGTCGTCAAGTTTATGGTTGTAGCGCACATGAGTATCAACTGGTTTAGCCCCAAGCTTTCCTGTTTCCTTGAGGAGGTCTGACGCATAGTTCTTTTAGATATGAAGATTCCTCTCTAAGCACTGGTCACTTCAATACCTAGAAATATTTCAATGAACCCTGATCTTTAATTTCAAATTCCTTACTAGAAAACCTTCAGTTGTTGAATTTCATTAGGAATTACTTGTAACAACTATATCATCCATATATACAATCAGGGCAGTGGTATGTTTGAAAATAAGGTATAATTAGCATGACTCATAGTATGCCCAATTCTTTGAACACCATTGAACCTCTTAAACCAAGCTAAGAGAGACTGCTTTAGACCGTAGATTGCGTTTCTCAATCTACAATCCAGGAGCTCAAAACCTAGATTGAGTTACCGTGTACACTTCTTCTATAGTTCCCATGAATTAATGCCTTCTTCACATCCAATTGGTGTAATGGCCACTCCAAGTTAGCTACCATAGATAAAAGGGACCAAGAGCAAATGTCTCTTGATAGTCTATTTCATAAGTCTGAGTCAACCCTTTGGCAACCAATCGTGCCTTGTATCTGTCAACTGTACCATCACCGGTGCTTTACAATATAAACCCATTTGCAGCTAACCAACTTCTACTCTTTAGGAGGATCTACCATTTCCCAATTTCCATTCTTGATTTGCTTTTGTAATACCGGAAGGAACAAAAATAGAAGACAAATAAGACATGAAAGCATGAAGAAAGGGGACAAAGACTCATAAGAGACGAAATTGTTGATTAGGTGTATAGTGCAACTTCATCTACCTTTTTGTACAACAATGGGCAGATCCGAGTCATCACACTAGGAACTGTTGGTACCTATATCAAAGGTATGTAATTGTCTTGAAGGCTTGTCAACTTTGGTGGTCTCTCCCTTCAGTTTTTAATGAGTGTAGATTTTAAATTATTATTTTTTAATATCACAAGAGCACCCTCCATTGTCCCCCTAAGGCCCAGATTTAGGAAAAATAGGACTGAGAAGAGGAATAGGAGAACTTTGATCCACAGTTCTACCCATGAAGAGAGGTAGACAAAAAAGGAGTGGACTCAAAGAAGTTATCTATCAGAAAAAACTTCTTCCCTGAGATTGGATCGTAGTATTTGCAACCCTTTTGAAAGGACGAATAACTAAGAAAAATACATTTTATAGATTTGGGATCAAGCTCTATATGGTATGGACGAAGGACAAGACCAAAGCAAACATAATGAAAGACTTTAGGGAGAACATTTAACATTGGATGGCTAGGGCGGAGAAGTTTATAAGATAAGATAAGATGCAGTGAGCATGGCTTCTGACCGGAATTTTTGGGGTACATTCATTCTCAAGAAAAGAGCATGGCCGACTTCCAAAAATGTCTATTCTTCCCTTTAGCTACACCATTTTGTTGTGGTGTATACGACTGAGAATTTTGATGATCTATTCCATGTTCTTCCAAATAAGACAACTTATCATTATCGTAATCTCCACCTTGGTCAGATATAAGCACCTCATGTTATGAAAGACCGTGAATTAAGAAGACATGGACTTTCAACTCTGGTATTCATAAGGTAGACCAAGGTAAACTAATAGTTTGAAAAAAGAAACAATTCTAATAGCGAAAAAAATAGATGAAATAGGAGAGGAGTCTCACACATTAGAATGGGAAATAGCAAAAGAAGTAGTGCTTTTATTATTATTGGGTCAAGAGTTTTTGCAGTGTTATGACAATTCACAGACTTCACATTGAAACTCTGACGCACTAGTAGAAATAAATAACTTAGGAAGCAAAACTTTGAATGATCGAAAGGCAAATGACCAAGTTGGTAATGCCATTGTCAAATTTGATTTTTATTAACATTGATGCGGATTGAAGAGCTTGAATGGAAGTAGGCAAGTCTAGAATGTAGAAACCACTGGCTTCATGACCATGGCCAATCGTCTCCCTCGTATATAAGTTCTAAAAATTATAGTGGGAAGGAAAAAAGGTTGCACTATAGTTTAGACTCTTGGTAATGCTACTGGCGGACATTAAATTTGTAGCAAACCTGGTAACAACAAGAACTAATGACAATGACAGTTAAGGATAAATATTTATAGTTCCTTTTCCATCGATAGAACAAAAAAAAACAAGAGCCATTAACTAGTTTAATCAAGGTTTTAAAGTCGGTGATTTGGATCGGAACTGGCCATTTCAAATCAGCAATCGGTCAAGCCGATCTGGATCCCGAAATATATCGGGAACCAGCCAGTTCCCCCTTCAAAGCGGCGGGTCAAGCCGGTTTTCTGATACTACTGGCTGGTTTTGTCAGTGAACAATTCAATTGTGTATCGGAACCAACCACTTTGTTTAAAAGTTTGAAAGTTTTTTATTGAAGGACGAGGGGGCGGGGCCCACTCTCCCTTGCCTTTATGTAGTTTTCAAAATTTGAAATTTTTTAATTGAAGGGAGAGGTGGTGGCGGGGCCCACCCAGCCCTCATGTTTATATGGTTTCTTGAGCTTTTCAAGCTTTGATGTATTAGAGATGGTTGGTCAACTGTCCTTGTAGGAACACATGTTCCAACCTCCACTATGTGAGGACCCCCCAACTTCATGGCTTGGCGCTCTTTTATAAGGCTGTGCCCCTACTGAACCGTTCGAATAGCACAATGTGGGACTAAAAGGAAGGGGCACGAAACATTCAACAAAAAAAGGAATGAAAGGGTGTTCAAATTTTCAAGATGGAGAGAGAAAAAACCATGAGAGAGAAGACCATGGTCTTGTAGTGAGTTTAATGCGAAAATAGTTTTTATAGGCATTTTACAATCACCATGAGAGAGAAAACCATGCTCTTTGTTCTTTGGAGGCAAATGATTGTAAAATGCTTATAAAAATGGGCTTAGCAATGGAAAAATTCATTTAAGATTTTTTTCATAAATTTAGAATACAAAAAAGGTCTTTTTAAGGGTTTTTAAAAATCCACCATTTTTTATGTTTTAAGCTTTGATTTAGAACCAAATTAGAATGAACATAGTAATAATTATACAATAATATTGCAAATCTTGTAATTATTTATTGATTTATTTATATTATACAATAATATTGCAAATCTTGTAATTTATTTATTGATTTATTTATATTCTAAATTAATTACTGCATTATTTTAGTTCACCTTTTCCTAAAAAAAAAAAAATATTATTTTTATTATAAATGTAAATAATATTTTTTTATATTAGAAATTATTATAAAATAAGATAAGGTTTTAATTTCTTGATAGTTATATAGTAAAATAATTATAAACTAATAGTAGAGTACAATACTCTAAAATTATGGTATATATGCGAACGAGATTTGAAATATTCAATATAGGGAATAATTGTATGCTCAACTTTGGCCACGTATTCATATCCAAGATGATTGTAAGCTCCTTTCTTCCAGTGATTTCAATGTAATGTTTCACAAACATCCAGATTGGGAAACAACATCTTAATATTTAAGTATTTTTGCAAAATAATGAAAGTACTTAATGCACCACCCTAATTTTTTTTTGAAAAATAAAAAAAACATTAGTTTTGGGGATTTGTAGTATTTTTAGAAATTTTTAACTCCAAATCTGGCTGATTCGGCCGATTTTCTGATCTAGATCATCGATCCGCCGTTTTGACCCGGTTTTCCAGATAGATGATCTAGGTCATGGACTCGTTTTTTAAAACCTTGATCGTAACTTTGTCTCTATCGGAACAAAGGGGATAGGAAGAAAACAAGGAAGACATCTCAGTGATATGATTTGAAATTCCGGAATTAGTAAACCGGAATTGTCTAGACTCTAGACAGATAAAGAGAGACATGGTGAGCAAAAGCATGAATACCTGATTGAGCAAAAGATGAATCAAAAGTAGTGGATGGGCCATCTAACTGGGTGAGCAACCTAGGAAGGCTCTTAAATCTGCTCATGAGGAACTGATATCATCTCCTTGGGAGTAGAAAGTGGAGGCAATTGCTAATCCTCTTGTGGATAAAGCACTATGAAACTTGTGCACACAATGAAACTTGTGCACACAAAAAAGAAACGCTCATCAACACAACCAATAACTTAAATTCCCTTCCACGGGGATCCTAGACCATCCATGCAAGAGACCTTGATAATGAATGAGTCTCACAACTCAAAAGACTGTGGTGTGACATGTTGAAGGGGTCCAACAACAGATTTGAAACCATCCAACCATCCCTTCCTCGAAGAAGGATAGAACAACAGCTTTG